GGGTGTTTCGGTACAGTATCTGTGACATACTTGAAGTTGCAGTTTATGTCTGACACTCTCCAGACGTTCTGCGTGTCGAAGCCCATCCTCTTGACCTCCATTTCCATTCTGTGACGCACGTTATCCCCTGAGCACAGAGACAGCATGGGAGGAGATCATTTTAGGAAAGTCAACATTTTAAACACATATAACATATCCAAGAGGCATGATTGTTCTTTACCTTTTTGTTAGAGCTTTTTTATTTCAAACTGAACCCAGTTTTTTTATCTAAGTGTGGCCAAAATCTTTGAAACTGGTTTAGTATTGAGTGAGAGCTCTGCATCTGGCAGACGTTTAACAGGGTGCAATGTAATCCTTCTGTACGATTCCACAAGGTCATTGTACATCCATTAAAAAAGCTTATTTGGCCACTGACAGGTTCAGATTGATATCATAAGTGTGTGAAAAAATGAAGGAACAAGCCCTACAGAGGAAAATTATTCTATTTACATTTCATTTGATCAAGTCTGTTTGTTTTTGTTTCTTACTAAGGCTAATTTAAGGCAAGCTCTTCTTCTAAAATCTTGTAAGAGTTGACTCATTGCCAGAAGAAAGCGTTGGAAACACAAGTGAGAGTAAAGAGAATGTCAGTGTTGTCAGAATTAGTTGTGGAGGAGTACATAAATCCTAGCTTCATGTAATACTCCAGATCAAGCAAAATGTACATTTAATTACAATAACAAGCACTTTCATGTTGTAGATGAATGTTATGGAATTCCCTGAAAGTATTACATTGCAGGTAAATTCCCGTCTCATACACTTGCCAAATACTTGACCAATTTCAAAAGCTGTTGTTCCTGTTACTTAGGCAAAGAAACATGTGGAAACAGTGTCCAGCTTGGGTTACACTGAAGTTACTTTAGTTCAGTCTCGAATGTTGTGTGTGTGTGTGTGTGTGTGTGTGTGTGTGTGTGTGTGTGTGTGTGCGTGCGTGCGTGCGTGCGTGCTGACCTGGGCGACAGAGATGGACGTGCTGGTCTTCATCATCAGAGTTGCCTCCCAGACACCAGGCGTGATAGGCGAGGGCGAACAGATCCTCCAGGCGGGCGGGGTGAGCTATGGCCCGGTTCAGACGCTTCACCCACTCCTGGCACAGCTTGAACGTTGCAAAGTGGCATCTGTGGAGTGAATATAAGAACGGTGGGTGAGATTCGACAATTAACACTTTGTTAAAACTTCATGCATTTGGGATTGTGTGAAACAATTGGTAATTTCCTCATATGCTCAGAGGCTTTTCAAGCGTGAAACTAGGAGTAATGATAATGCTGCTTAATGATGACGAACCAAGACGTCAATGGCACAGCTGCTGCAGAGAATCTGAATCATCCACTGGTTTTGAACTTTACAGATGTCAATCACAAGAGAATTTCGGTCTGCTGTGAAATAAAAACAGGCTAGTTCTGTTTTACTCGAAACTCCTTTTAAAGCAATCTGTGAGCATGATTAGAGCTGATTATACACTTGCCATCTGTTCTTGGTTAATACCACGGTGACTGTCATTAATAAGACGGCTTTAAAATGCTACTGAGCATACTCTCATCCCTTAAAAGCAGCACAAACAACAATAAATATGACGTCCATCTGCATGAAACAAATAAACAATGGTTTGATTTTGATGGTATAATTAAAAGCAACGTAATTAATACTTTACTTCTGCTTTCAAACCAATGTTTCTGTAATATATTGACATCCTAACAACACATTTTGCATTCATTATTATTTCTATTGCGAGGGGGACCCAAGTTCCCATCAGCAAAAACACGAGGGTTTGCTATCCTGGCTCCAAAATGGTGGAATGAGCTCCCCATTGAAATCAGGACAGCAGAAAGCTTACACTTCTTCCGGCGCAGACTGAAAACTCATCTCTTTCGACTCCACTTCGAACGATAGAATTACTAACAAAGAAACTGCTAACAGAGCACTTATATACTAATAAAGGACTGGCTTATCTAAAGCCAGTTGAGTAGCACTTGAAATGTTTTAGCTCTATGAAACCTGATGTACTTATATGATTCTGTTTTCTTCAAGTTTGTATCTTGCTGGTCGAATGCACTTATTGTAAGTCGCTTTGGATAAAAGCCTCAGCTAAATGCAATGTAATGTAATTTCACTATTTTCTTTTACAACTACATTGCTCCGTCAAAACGTTTTTCCTGATATTTGAGTATTATTTTAGTCTGATGAAAAGAAAATAGAAACATGCTGATAACTTCGCAGGGCACAAAGTTAATTGACTATTTCAAACTAGCATGTGTTTGATAACCAAATATTGAAAGAAATAATACAAATGAAGGGAAGCTTAACATTTGAGTAGTTGTGTGATTATTCATTCTTATTATTGAACAATCAATTCCAAAAATGGCTTTTGATTACATTCCTGCTGAACAATTAATTAGCCAACTTATTGTTTTAGATAATTGCACATAAAATATACTGGAATCAGACAGGCTGGACTTTAACTCTGTTATCATGCCAACACAAATGTGAACCAAAATAAGTCATAACCTCAAAGTATGAAAAAACATGCATCATAAACTATTGAATGCTTGAATTAGTTTTTCCCCAGACTCTAAACCATTTGTATTGACAACTCTGTTATTCTGGTTCCACCTAAGCATCAGAAGATGTTCTTTTCACTCTGTTATTTAAATCTACCCAGACAGGAATTCTTTTTTACTGTGAGGTCACAATACATGATCTTTATAATCACTAATGTCACTAAGTACGGTAATACAGTAGGCAAGACGCTATATTAACAGAGGCTTTATAAACATCACTTTATTATAACTGTTAACATCTATTTTTACACCAGGGACTGGATTATTGATTGGCTGTTAAGCGCAGTAGTGTATAGAGGTTATACCTTCTCTCCACACTGTCAGAGAGAAATGAACTATTGTATTATTCATTTATATGAGTGTCGGACCACCGTACTGAATGTACTCTTGGTAAACCCTCTGAACCCAAAGCAGATTCAGGGCTTTTTTCCTCTCCTGCTGCAACTCACTGTGGCCTTGTTTTCACTGCAATGTGTAAGCCCTGCAACCCTATGGACACAGCACAATCTGTTTTACAGTATTTAGTTCATTCAGTTGTATGACCATTAATGCCATATTGGATTAAATACATACTCAAGTGTTTCCAATATCATATAAACATAAGCTATACACATTGTACTATTTAAGATTTGCACAACCTGTAATTACAACCGCTCTCTTCCTCTCTGCTTTGTGTAAACAGCCTGAATTTTTGTTGTGCATCTTTTGGTCTCGGTCGAATCATTTATAGCTTCAATTTAGCTTTGAAGAATGCAGAATGTTATGTTTTTGACAGTATCTAATTAGTGCAGACGGATAATTTCTGACTAACATTTCAAATGGTGTATGTAGAATGACTAGTTTACGCTAGGATTTGGTTACTTTTCCTCACAAATAAATCATTGAATGATCTTTCATTTTAAAATCCAATGATCATTTCTGTTTTATAAACTCTGGGTATACGTTTTTTAAACGGTTTAGGGGTCAGGGGATTGATAAAAGCATCAAAAAGCTTTCAGGGTTAATATAACGTATTTAGTGTGTGAGTGTGCAGTTTTTTCCTCACCTTACAACTTTGGAGTCTTTGCAGATGATATGCAGCTGGAACATATCTCTGCTCTCCACGTTGTCTATCAGTCTGAGAGGCACCTGCAGGTGGAGACAGAGTGCACGTGTCATCATCCTGATGGCCCACTGTCACAGCGACACACTTCTGCAAAGAGGTCACCACTCTCTGGTCTAGTACAGACTGAACTTAGATACAAATAGTACAGCATAAGGCTTACTCTAAGCAGGCCTCTGCATTGGTTTTATCTTTGTCTCAAGACTTATTTTAAGATACCAAACAACAACTATAAAACGTGTTGTCTGCAGGACTGTCGACCCTGCTTTCTAAGCTTTCCCTGTCGATTGAAATTGTTACAGATTTACAAAATCACCCACGCAACTTCAAATTTGATCAAACATTTATGCAACAGCACTTTCTGCACTGCGCATGAATGAAGAAACACTATTTCATACCTTTTTAGCAAACAGAAAGTTCCTTCTTTTTCATTAAGTCTCAAGGTCAGCCAACACGCTGCACCACACATATTTGTTGTCCTTTGAACGTAAATTACAATTTGTCCCCAGCGCACTGTAATTGTTTAAAACCAAGAGGGTGACTTAAGCTGTCTAGACAGTGGCAGAGGGTGGTGTTTTATCATTTTGTACTCACAGATATCTCATTGTCCACACCTGGGAAGGTCTAAAACACAGTGACACCATGGAGCCCACAAACACACACACACAAACACACACACACACACACACAGAGGGGGGGGAGGGAGGGAGGGAAAGACACAAGACAGGAGGAAATGGAAAAACTATTAAACCAAAAACATCCAGGAGAAAAAAAGGAAATGAAGAGTTAAAAGGAAAAAGAACATGTTGAAAGATAAGTGAGTGTGCTACTTGCAGCACGTGACCAAGCTGAATGGAAATCGTGGAGAGAAAGACAAACATGGACAGGAGCAAAGGGCAAGAAAACAGCTTAAAGGTAGGGAGGTGGGTTGTGAGGGGGGTGGGGGGTAGAGAGAGAGACTGTGTGGTGTGTTGGCATTCATACAGAGTTCATCTGTGCTGCTGGGGTCAAGGCAGGACAGAATCTGACTCTCCGTTTAAGTAAGTCAAGGTGAAGAGGCAGTCTGGACGTCATGGTGATCCACCCCCAGCTCTTCCTCCTTTTTCTCTAATCCCTGTCACCCTTTTCATAAACGGAATCCTTCTGGAAAAGATGACTTGGTAATATGAAGGAGGAGTAATTTCATTGCCAGTAAATGCAAACAATTGGCCCGTTTGTGCTTGACCAAGGTCTGACGTCAAGCCCGAGTGGGCCAATGGGCCTCAGTGCCAGTGGGGGCCGGGCCCTTGGAGCCTTGATGTCATATTAAACCTATCCTGGCTGTAGATTGGTGGGGCAAGCCACTCCTGTGGTACTAACAACTTAATGCCAAATGCACTGGGGTATGACTAAAACCGATTTACGGGCAACCAATGGAAAATACTTGTAGCTTTATTTGCCTGGTTAGCACAATGATGTGTTTATAACATATATATATGGGGGAAGGGGTAGAGCTATGTGCACACACCCCGCACATTATAACCTCTCTACGTCTATTGGCTTCCATAGATATAGACACTGGTGCAGTTTGGACAGAAGTGAAACTGTTGTGGCACTTCTGTATGTTTACAAGTCTGTCGATTTGCACTTACGTTGATAACAGAGTCCTTGAACTTGATGTGGAGTCTGTAGTTAGAAATGGCGATGATGGCTTCGTCTGCACAGCCAAGATATTCCACCCCTTCCCCCTGAAGAACTGCGAATGGCACCTGTAGAAACACAGAACAAACCAGATTACTGAGGGTTTTGAGAGGCAAAAGCATAACACCACCACCAGTTTGTTGTTTTTGTTTCGTCTACCGGGAGTATAATCTTAACATTCATGTTTCTATTTTTAAAGCTGTACTCTCAAGTCGAGGAGTCTACAGCCATGCTTGCTGCTGAACTAAGGCAGAGTGGTGCTTTGAGCTAAATGCTTGGATGTTGATCTTTAGCAGGTTTAATGTTGAACATGTACACAATCTTAGCTAAGCATGTAAGCATGCTAACATTCACTAATTAGCATTAACCCAAAGTTCAGGCGCAACCAAAGTTAGTATTCATTTTGCTCATTTAAGTCTTAAAGTGGGTGTCATGTCGTTATTCTAAAAGCCCCACGCACATAAATAAACAAGCGCATTCTCCTTATGCGAAAAATACATTTTAACCAGCACTTTTACAAAAGCCAGAGTTATTTTTTTCTTTCTGGAGCAACATGGTGGACTCTGTTGAGGATGACCGCTTTCTATGAAGTAATGAAAGGGTGATCTTAGCTATTGATTACACACCAAGAAACCTTAGCTAAGAATTGTATTTTCTGATCCTGCTAATGAATCCTATATCCAACACGCAGGTTATTTAAAACTGATGAATTTTAAAGGTTTTTTATTTATTTTTTAACCTGTTAAGCCCTGAGCCTGTTTTTCAGGCCTCAGGCTCAAAAATGACATTCCCAGAACAAATTACCATAACTTCACTTCTAAAAAGGGTTAAATTAATAATCTTTTTTCTCAAAGCAATTATAAACCTGTGAGTTGGCTGTATAAAAGTCAGAATCAATATAGAATTGTTTTTATTTTAAAGTAAATTCAGATTGAACATAGTAAAAAAGAAAATGTAAATTATAGTGTCCGTCCAAAAAAACAAAACATTACTTATAGTGAAAACCACCCTTGAATGACGGGATAGTAGACTAAAAGCTTTAGGAATCCAAATTATAACATATAATAAGAACCCTGTATCAAGATTGATGCAAAACAAGTGAAATTTGACCTTTTTAGAGAGGTTGAGCAAAACAAACCCATTTGGGTGGATTTTGTCGTTTCTCTGGAACCCATTGGTCGATTTTGATGATTGACATCTCTTTTGAACCGTTAGAGCGAATAGAATCGAAGGGGAAGTTCCACATATACGTTACCATTGACAAGTGAGAGTGACACGCACGCAGTCGAAAGCTATGTTACGCTCTGAAAACTGAAACCTACATAGACCCTCCAGAAAAACGCGATTCTGCGATCGCAGAATTTACCGCATAATCAGCAAAATGGCGCAGATTTTTAAAAGGCCACATATTTATCAACAGGCCGCATAATCCCCGCATTTTTCCACACAAAATTGAGAATTATTTTTTTTAACTCGTCTTGACGTGACGTCATCAGCTCGCGCATCACAGAATGTAAACAACACTGCATAGAGTGAACGTGTGGAGCTCACACGATAGAGAAAACATCAAGATGAAAAAATCTAATCCATCTCATTTACCGACGAACATTTCTACTAAAGACCGGGCAAAAAGTGGGGGGAAACTATTCTGCACCCCGTGCAACTGTGTGTTGGAGCATAAGAGAAAATCGACGGTGGCGACCCACTTTGATTCATTCAAACATTCGAAAATGCTTTCTGCTGCTGCGGACAAGAAAGCCATTCAACTCACGTTCACCGAGGCATCAACCTCCAAAACCCTTTCGAGGGCTACAAGAAACGAAGTGAGTAGCCTACAAGATTGAAGCTGGTCAGATAACGAACGAGTAAATGAAAACAGAATGAGGCGGAGAAGTGTGTGTGTGTGTGTGTGGGGGGGTAGTGTGTGTGTGTGAGA